ATTTACATTTTCAGAGATTTAGTCCATTATCATCATGGTGGAACATAGTGGCAGGCAGGCAGACATGGTACTGGAGCTAAGAGTCCTACATCTTGATCAGCAGGTAAAAGGAAGTGAACTGAACCACTGGGCGTGGCTTAAGTGTATATGAGACCTCAAAGCCCACCTCCACAGTAACACATTCCTCCAACGAGGTCATACATACCTACTCAAACAAAACCACACTTTCAGAGGCAGAAATTTCTGTCCTGCCAGCCAGGTCCCAAATAACCACACAGAGACTTAATATTAATTATAAATGTGTAGGCAGAGTTTTCCTGCCCTGGGAGATACTTCCAAATTACCACACAGAGACTCATATTACTTATAAGTGCCTGGTCAGTAGCCCAGCCTTGTTATTAGTTCTTACATTTAAATTAACTCACATTTATATTTATGCTTTGTCACATGGCTCACTTTCTACATGTCCTGCTTGTTCGGTGTCTGACTGGCATCCACTGTGACTCTCCTGACTCCCGCCCTTCCTACTCCCATCATTCTCTCTGTGTCAAGCTGTCTCACTCAATCTCTTCTTACCCTGATATTGGCCAATCAGTTTTTTTTTATTAACAATGAGCATAATTCACAGCAATAAATGCTTGGCTAATAGCTTGGGCTTGATTTTAGCTAGCTCTATTTATTCATTTGTTTTTTTGTTTTGGGTTTTTTGAGGCAGGGTTTCTCTGTGTGTAGTCCTGGCTGTCCTGGAACTCGCTCTGTAGACCAGGCTGACCTCAAACTCACAGAGATCTACCTGTCTCTACCTCCTGAGTGCTGGGATAAAAGACATGCGACACCTCCACCTGCCTTAGCTAACGCTTATAACTTAAATTAACCCATTTCTATTCATCTATATGCTGCCCCAAGGCTTGTTTATCTCATGTATGTACTTCCCATCCTGCTTAATCTGCATCTCATGTTGTCTTCCTCCAACTCCTCCCTTCTCTCCAGAATTCTTTTAGTCTGTTTCTCGTGCTTAACCTTATCTTGCCTAGTCATTGGCCAGTCAGCTCTTAATTAGTCAATGAGAGTAATATATATTTACAGTGTACAAAGACTGTTCCATGCAGGCTTCCTAATAAGTGCCACTCCCTGTGAGTTTATGGGGGCCAATTACATTCAAACTATCCCAACTATAATTACATGCATATTATACCATTAGATAGTATCTCACAGGCACTGAGTCTATGTACAAATTTCTATCCTCCCCCCCCGCCCTTAGCTTAAATGGTGTCTATTGTTGTCTTCAAATTCACATTTTTTCCTCTTACAGTCTAATATGCTGCTAGTTGATCTAGTGAGTGATTCATTCATATTCAAGTCTTCTATTTATTTTCTTTCTTTTTTTCTAGCATAACGTCTCATCATATAGCTCAAACTGACCTCAAACTTACTATACAGCCAAGGATGATATTGAACTTTTGATCTTCCTACCTCTACCTCCAAGTGATGCTACCATGCCCAGTATATTTAGTGCTGGGATCAAACCCAGGGTCTTGTGCATGCTAAGCAAACACTCTGCCATCTAAGCTACACCCCCAGCTATCACACATTCTCTTAAATTTCTATATTTTTCCACTTGGTTTTTATTTAAGTTCTCTATTTTTACCTTTTGACTCTCATCATATTAATTTCTTTTAAATTATTTTATTTTTATCTTGGTTTATGATTTATTGTATTTGCTTTGATTTTGCTTCTAGAGAGTAAGTCAAGAGCCTCACACATGCTAAGTATGGCTTTGTCACCCTTCAAACTGTGAAACCCAGCTGTTTCAACATCATTTTCTCCTAACTCATCATCTCTGTTGCTTCTGGATTTGTTTGTTTTCATTTTCTCTGTTCCTATAGATATTTCAGATTTTTTTAATCATTTAAATTTATTTCATGTGTATGAATGTTTGCCTGCATGTATGTATGTGTACCCATGGGTGCCTGGTGTCTGATAAGACCAGAAGAGGGTGTCATAACTCCTGGATCTAGAATTAGAGACATTATGACTCACTGTGTGGGTGCTGGGAACCACCTTCAGGTATGTAACCACTGAACCATCTCTCCAGCCCTGACTTTTCAGTTCATTGCATGTCTATTAAATTTTATCAGATATTAAATAATGTGAACATTACATTGTTGAGTGTCTACATCGCACCGTCTTCCTTAAAGTAATGTTCTATTTAGTTTGGACATTTTTGTGAAGGTTTCTTTCTTAAAGATTTGTTTTGTTTTGCTTATTTGTTGAGCCAGAGTTTCACTATGTGGCTCTGGCTGTCCTGGACCTCTCTATGTAGACCTGTATGGTCTCAAACTCACAGAGATCCGCCTGCCTCTGCCTCCCGAGTGCTGGGATTAAAGGCGTGCACCACCAATGCCGGGCCACATCTAGCTTTTAAAAAAGTTTTTTTTATGTGTATGTGTGTTGTGCTTGCATGAATGTATGGGCATCATATACAAGCCTGGTATCCAGGCCAGAATAGGATGTCAAATGCCCTGGAACTGGAGTTACAAATGGTTGTGAGCTGCCATGTGGGTGCTGGGAACCAACCCCAGGTCCTCTGCAAGAGTGCTCTTAACCACTGAGCAGCCCCACCAATAAATTTATTTATATTTACTTAGTCCATGACTTTAAAATATCAAGCACTAGTGACTTCAAGATTATTTCTTCTTTCCAGGTAGTGGTGAATCACGTCTTTAATCTCAGCACTCAGGAGGCAGAAGCAGGTGGATCTCTGAGTTTAAGGCCAGGCTGGTCTACAGATCAGGTTCCATAACAACCAGGACTACGCAGAGAAACCCTATCACAAAAGCAAAAAAAATTTATTTATTCTAAAGAATTTCTATAGAACAATCCTTCTGTACACTGTGAAGATGTGATGCCATCCTTGTAAATAAAAGGCTGATTAGCAGATAACTAGGCAGGATTTTGGGTCAGAGAGAACACTGGGAAGAAGGAAGGCAGAGTCAGAGGAGTTGCAAGTCAGATGCAGAAGAAGTAACATGAAAGTTCATAGATAAGGTAGACGAGCCTCATCGCATAGATTAATAGAAATGTGTTCATTTAAGCTGTCAGAAGTGATTAGTGGCAAGCCTAAGCTATAGGCTATAGTTAATAATTAAGTCTTGGGAACTGGCTGGAGGCACAGAAAAGTCTGCCTACAAAGATTAATCTAATAAAACTGGAAAACTCTAACAGATAATAAACAAGAATCAACTATGGCTGTTACACAAATTTGTAACTATCTTTAAAAAAGCACTAAGTGGTACTCTTTAAAAGGGTGAGTTGAATACTATATGAATTATAAAAACACTCGGTTACAGGGACTGGGGAGATGGCTCAGTGCAAAACACTTGCCTTGCAAGTGTGAGGACAATCAGATTCCTAGATTGCATTTAAAACTGAGCAGGCAACCCGGAAATGGTGTCCCACACCTTTAATTCCAGCATGCAACAGGCAGAGGTAGGCAGATCTCTGTGAGTTTGAGGTCAGCCTGGTCTACAGAGTGAGTTCCAGGATAGCCAGGGCTACACAGAGAAACCCTGTATTGAAAAAAAAACAGAAACAGAGCAAGCATAGCAACTGCCCAGAACCCCAGGACCTAAGGAGGCAGAGAGAGCAGACCCCAGGGCAAGCTGGCTGGCTAAGTTTGCTGGGTTTGACTGGCTCCGGGTTCAGCAAGAGACTGTGCCTCAAGAGAGAATGGTTGAGACAGACACCCAGTGCCTACTTTGGACCTTCACATACAAATGCACACATACACAAAGCACACACATTAGAACGCAAACACACACTCCAAAATGAAAGCCACAAAATAATTTAGAGGCTGGATGTGGCTCCGTGGTTAAGAGTACTTGCTGCACCATGGTGAGTACTAGAGTTCAGATTCCAGAACTCATGTAACAAACGACTCTACAGTTCGTAGAGTTTCACAACCTACTTCTGGCCTCAGAGAATGAACACTCCTGTGTGTGATAAGTTTTGTTTTGTTTTTAAGTAAACTAAGTTTTTTTTTTTTCCCTTAAGTCTTTATTCCCCCAGAGAATCAGAGAATCAATAGTTTCTATCTGGTAGCATATGGAGAACTATATACCATCAACCCCCACCTTTCTGAGCAGTAATTTTTTTTTCACATCACACATCTTTTTAGTTATTTATTTTAGACAAGCTCTCTATTTGTAACCCAGGCTGACCTTGAACTCACCATCTCCCTGCATCAGCTTCCTTCTCAGTGCTGGGATCACAGGTATACAACACCATGGCCAGCTTGCTTTGTTTTACACCTTAGGGAGGCTTCCAGTGCCAAGAAATACACAACGAAGTCTACAAGTAGTTGATAACAAGCTTGAAACAGCAGATCAATGACATGAAGTTCAATTTTCATCTTTAGTATTGTTTCCTCATGGCCACAGTTAATTCCTAGCAGCTTCCTTCCCTGCATTTTATTAGATTCCATGTTACCTTGAAATTTCATTGGGTCTGTAATTCCAGTATAATCTTTCAGTAAGAATCTAATGTCACTGGACAAGAAAAAAAAAAACATGCCAAGCACAGATATGAATGCCATTATTTTATTTTGACTTTTCTGGTTTGGGTTTTTGCTTCTTTGTTTTCTTTTTGTGACAGGGTCTCTCTCTTGTAGTCCAGGCTGGTCTGCCCAGATTGACCTCGACCTCCTGGCCATCTGCCTTCCAAATGTTGGGATTAAAGACATAAAGCACCATTCCAAGAGTGAAGGCTATTTTTAACCCAAGAAATCGGGGGACAATTAGAGTTTAGAAAATGGAAGGGGGAATATGTCATATTTACACTGCCACTAAACAGTGGTCATCAATGTGTCTCTTAGCTTCAGTCTCTGGGCGATCTTGTTGCCGACCCGACGTCACCTGTTGAGGCTTCTTAACCCCTTCAAATATGACCGCCTTAGCTTCATTCTCCCTCACTACTGTGACGACAGGGCTGACTTCCTGCCCATTTCCAAAATGGCCTCTCCCACTGCGTCAAAGTTCTGAGTGCGCACGCGCGAAAGTAAGTTTTTTTTTCTCTCTCTTTCCTGGCAAAATGGCGATGAGTTTAGTGTGCGGCCGCCGGCAGCTTCTGCGCCTCCTACGACACCAGCGTTCGGTAAGGTTGCGTCCGTACCACCGGGTGCTGCCTGTTCCCTGTCACCAGAGCTGAGGTCAGAAGCAGACGCTGGCCTGGCCCCTGGGGCCTGCGCGTCGCGACCTCGGGTCGCGCCCGGGGTTGGTGGCCCGGCTTCTCTGCAGCTGTCTGGGAGCTGCCTTCGACCCTGAGCCCTGACCTCTGGGCCCCGTCGCCGGGCGTCAGTAACCGGATGCGGGAGACGGGGCCGGGCTGCACCCTGCACGCCCCAGGGCACGTTCGGGGCCCGCGGTCTGCGCGAGCAGAAGAGCGGTGGCCCGGCTGCTGCAGCAGGTCTGCGGGAGAGCCGGGTCGCATGGGACTCAGGGGTTCCCTTGTCCTTTCACACGTCAGTTCCACAGCGTCGCAGGGTCCCGCAAACCGCCGGCCACCGAGCTCCTCGTCGCAGCCCGCCTGGGCGGTGGGCGCCCACACTACGCTCTTCTCGCCGCCTCAAACCCTCGCTGCATCAGTACTTCTGGCACCTTCTTTGCAGAAGCCCAGGTAAGAGGGCCCCGCGGATGTCAGGAGCGCAGCTTCTTGGCCAGCTTCTTTTGTTCTGCTTTTGGTTCTGTTTGGTTTTGTTTTGCGATGAGAGACTGTGTAGTGGAGTTCTTTTCCACACTCCACGCAGTTCCTCCCATTAGCCTCTCTGTTCCGAATAGAAATAGGTTCTCAGGAACTCAGTGGGGAAACGTTTGAAAATCCATGAGAAATTTGTGGGGCCGGTGAGATGATGGCCCATCCCCTGGAATCCAAGCTCTTGAGAGACAAAAGAGGACAGATCTCTAAGTTCAAAGCCAGTCTGGTCAACATAGCAAGTCAGGGCTGCATAGTGAGACCATGTCTAAAAAAAAAAAGGAAAGGAGAAAAGCAAAAACTAGTTCTACAAAGTTGTTCTCTGACTTCCACACGTGCCTCGGCATGCATACCTCCACATCATGCAGGCACAATAATAGCTAAATTAATTTAAGTTTTGTATTATAGTCAAGACACTGATGGCCAGAGTGGTGGCAAGCCAATAATGTGAAATGTGATTACGAGTTTGTGTATTTGTATACGGAATATATGTGCTTCTGTGAATACTGTTTCTTGGAAGACTAAGTAGGTTCTGTTTCTTTTTAAAGATTTATTGTATGTGCATGTGTGTGACTGTGTGCATGTGATCAGATCATGGGTGCCCATGGACACAAGAGAGCTGAAGTTGCAGGTGGTTGTATGCTGCCCTACAAGGGTGCCGGGTCCTCCGCAAGAGCTCTCACCCGAGCCATCCCTTGGAGATAACTCGGTAACAGAACTCTTGGTTAGCAGGCGCAAGGCCAGCCTGAGCTGCAGCGCAGTCAAGATCCTGCCTCCAAAGCTAACCCCCCCCTAAAAAAATGAAATAAAAACTGAGTTGACTTAAAGAGAAACTGGGATCTAACTCAGTGGTCCACATTCTTGTCGGATGTGTGTGAGGTCCTGAGTTCAAGCCCCAGCACAAAACAATAGAGAGAATTCCAGCAACTGTAGTTTCAGAATATGCAAAGGATGGTGACCATGATGCTCAGAAGACCAGAGTCTGGGAAGTGTGATGGAGGAAGCAGTTTTCCTGCTTCCCCTGGGGGACGCCATGAGACCCCTGAGTAATTCTTCCTATGCTGGTGGCAAGAATAATGCCCTGGAAGCAGGGATGTGTAGACACCATTGGCATCTGGAAGAGCCAGAAGTAAAAGCAGAAAGCATAGCCCGGAACTGGCTGGCCTGAGGGAGCCTCACCTTTGGTGCGTCCCACTTATGTGACACTTGGTCTCCTTTCTCACAGGTCCAGGCACCCCCCCGTTGCTCCTGCTACCCCCACCCCTCCTGCGGTACCTGAGGTGGCTTCCGGAGGAACCGCAGATGCCGTCCAGTGTGCTGCAGAACAGAGCTTCGCTGAACTGGGGCTGGGGTCTTACACCCCAGTGGGACTCATCCAGAACCTCTTGGAATTTATGCATGTTGACCTGGGCCTGCCTTGGTGGGGGGCCATTGCCACCTGTAAGAGTACATACATCCTGAGCAAGGGTGGGGGGGTGGGGGCAGAACCTCAGCTGTTCTGTCAATGGACGAGGAAAGGGCGGAAAAGCAGATGATTCAAAGACGGGTGACATCCCAGCACTTAGGAGGCAGAGGCAGGCGGATCTCTGTGAGTTCGAGGCCAGCCTGGTCTACAAGAGCTAGTTCCAGGACAGTCTCCAAAGCCACAGAGAAACCCTGTCTCAAAAAAACCAAAAAAAAAAAAAAAAAAAAAAGACGGGTGACACGGCTCTTAGTGTTAGCAACCGTTTGTCACGTGGCTCCAAACCTACGGATGTTTGCGTGTGACCTGAGAGTTGGAGTAGGGATCCATGTAGAAGTAATGAAGCTGTCCTGATAGCGGAATAGAAGATCGGGTGGTACTTGTACTCCCAGCTTTGAAAGCTGCTCTCATTGCTCTTACAAAAGCTGAAACTGTGTTTTAGTCCTGTTTCCTCCTTATAATCATTAAAACTTTAGTTAAGTGTAGAAGTGTAGCTCAGTGGTAAGTGTTTACCTGTCATGCAAAAGACCAGCCTGGGCTACATAGTAAGACCCTATCAAGAAACAAAATCATCTCGACTTCTTAGCATTCTTCTGACCCCAGTGCTTGGAAGGCAGAGGTAGGAGGATCAGGAGTTCAGACATCCTTAGTTAAATAGTCACTGCTCTTGCTGTGAAGAGACACCATGACCACAGCGACTCTTCTGAAGGAAAGCATCTAGTCGGGCACTTGTTTACAGCTTCAGGGGCTTAGTTCATTGTCGTCATGGTGGGGAGCGTGGCAGGCATGGTGCTGGAGAATTGGGGGAGAGCTAAGCCTGATCTGTAGACAGAAGAGGTCACTGGGCCTCTTTGAAACCTCAAAGCCCACCCAGTGACACACTTCCTCCAACAAGGCCACACCTCCTAACCTCACTCAAATAGTGCCACATCCAATAAATCTGATAACTAAGCACTCAGATATATGAACCTGCCATTCTTATTCAAATCACCATGCCTGAGCTACATGAAACTTGTTCTTTAGAAAGTTTTCAAAAGTCAGGTGACAGTAGTGCATGCTTTTAATCCCAGCAGAGGCAGAGGCAGGTGGATCTTGGTGAATTCGAGGTCAACCTGGTCTACATAGCAAGTTCCAGGACAGCCAGGGCTGTTATGCAGAGAAACCCTTTCTTGGGGAGAAAGAAAAAAGTTTTCAAAAGCTTTGACTGAACTAGGTATACACCATTAATCCTAGTTTGGGGGGGGGAGTACAGAGACTGCAGGATCTCTGTGAGTTTGAGGCCAGCCTGGTCTACATAGCAAGTTCCAGGCCAGCAAAGGTAACAGAACCCCTGTCTGGTGGAGGGAAATGGGGTCTGAAGTTTACAGCTGCTTTTGTGAAGAAGCCGGGTTCTATCCCCACACCCACAAGGTGGCTCACAGCTGTGTAACTCCAGTTCCAGGGGATCTGGTACCTTTTGGGCCTTCATAGGCATATATACAGACAGGCAAAACACCCATACACATTAGATAAAGATGAATCTTTTTTTTAAATATTTATTTATTATGTATGTAGTATGCAATTTCTGCCTGCATGTCTGCCTACAGGCCAGAAGAGGGCACCAGATCTCATTACAGATGGTTGTGAACCACCATGTGGTTGCTGGGAATTGAACTCAGAACCTCTGGAAGAGCTGTCAGTGGGCTTAACCTCTGAGCTATCTCTCCAGCCCCAAGATGAATCTTTTAGCATTGTTTTTATTCCATGTGTGTGTGTGTTTGTCTGAATGTGTGCCGGTACACCACATGTATGCAATGCCTGAATGCAGTAAGTAGTCTTGTAACTGCGAGGCAAGTGCCCTACCACTAAGCCAAATTCCCAAGCCCCTTGGTTTTTTTAGTTGTTAAGTAACAAAAAGACTCATTTTAGCATGCATGCACTGAATGTATTCTTAAAAAACTCATGAATGCGTGTGCACGCATGCATTTGCCTGTGTGTACACTTGCCTGTGTAAGCCAACAGGGTATTGGATCCCTTGGAGTTGGGGTTACAGGCACTTGTGAACTACCTCACATGAGTACTGGGAACCAAACTCAGGTCTTCTGCAAAAAGAGTAATCACTCTTAACCACTGAGCATTCTCTCCAGCCCACCCCCTTAATTTTTTTGAAGTAAGGTCTTACTGTGTGGGACAGTAAGACCTCAAACTCTTTTTTTTTTTTTTTTTTTGGTTTTTCGAGACAGGGTTTCTCTGCATTGTTTTGGAGGCTGTCCTGGAACTCACTTTGTAGACCAGGCTGGCCTCGAACTCACAGAGATCCGCCTATCTCTGCCTCCCAAGTGCTGGGATTAAAGGCGTGCGCCACCAACGCCCGGCTGCCCTCAAACTCTTGATATTCTTGGCCTCTCTGTGCTGACATTCAAAGCGTGCCCCACTATCCTTAGCTTCAGTGTCTTCCTGTTTAAGTATACAAGCAGCTTTAGCATGCCTGTGTGTTCCTTGAGGGAGCCCGTGGACCTCACGGTAGCCGCTGGTGATGGTGTTATTGAAGCCACTTTTCTCATCATACCTGATCTTCCTGCATTTGACATGCATTTTTTTTTTTTTTTTTGGTTTTTCGAGACAGGGTTTCTCTGTAGCTTTGGAGACTGTCCTGGAACTCGCTCTGTAGACCACGCTGGTCTCGAACTCACAGAGATCCGCCTGCCTCTGCCTCCCGAGGGCTGGGATTAAAGGCGTGCGCCACCACCGCCCGGCTCTAATTCCTGATTTTTCTCTCCACACTTGCCCATGTTTGTTACCTAATACCTTTCTTGAGTGATGGGTTTCTGGGTTGTGTCCTTGCCTTCATCCTAGCCCAGACCCGCTTGCATGGCTGTAGATGGTGTAAACTGAAGTATTGTTGGAATGGCCAGTCGACAGGAAGTGTGAGGAAAGAGAAAAGGTTAAGCCACCAGAATGTGGTGGGTTAACTTGTAACTTAGGGCTTTGCCCTAAGCCGGGTATGATGGCACATGTCTGTGTTTATAGCTGAAGGAGGAGGAGCATGAGTTCAAGGCCAGCTTGTACATACCAAGACCCTATCTCAGAAAATAAAGTCAGGCTTCATTCTAAAACTCTGAGTTCTGTAGAGGTGCTAAACAGGGTGAAGGTTCTTGGTAAATGTTTTTCCTTTGTTAATGGTGACTTTATATATTTTCATCTACACTTAACAGTTGAGGAAAAAGTTTCCATTGATAATAGAAAAGTTCGGAGGCTGCTGAAGTAAGGAACTTTTGCTTTTTTTTTTTTTTTTTTTTTTGAAGAGCTGGGTGTACCCTGTCCTTACTTGTGGGCCCCTTGGGTGAGAGCCACAGTATGGAAAAGACTAGAATAAGGCTTGGAGTGAGGAACTGGAACCTTCAGCATGCTGGCTGCAGGCAGCGTTTCATTCCACTCCAAGCCCGTATTATATTTTCCAGGTACGGTCATTGCCCGCTGCCTCGTTTTTCCTCTGATTGTGAAGGGCCAGCGAGAAGCAGCCAAGATCCACAACCACATGCCAGTGATGCAGAAGTTTTCCACTCAAATCCGAGAGGCCAAATTGGCAGGGGATCAGGCTGAGTGTGAGTTGGCTCCAGGGAAATGTGCGAGAGAAGCATGTTTGCACTTGAGAAATTCTGCTGCGGGAGAGGGACAGGTGCTACGGTTGGGCAATTCTGATAAATCTGAACATTTATTCGGTCCTTGGAAAGTTCATGGACCCACGATGAGGTTGTTCACCCTCACTGATGTCACTCTTAACCCAGTGACTCGTCTCCCTCCCCTCGCAGTTTACAAGGCCTCCATCGAGATGACGCGCTATCAGAAAAAGCATGATATCAAACTCTTCAGGCCTCTCATTCTTCCTCTCACTCAGGTGGGCAAAACTGGTCTCCTGCTGTTCATCCTGAACCCATAAGTTGTCTCCTGCTTCCCATGTCCTAAGGTCCGCAGGAAAGCAGGGGATGGTGACATGCATGGCTTTTAGTAATGGGGCTATGAGAATTACCCCGTTAGATGTGCTGACGGTTTATCTTGTGTAACAGGCCCCCATCTTCATCTCCTTCTTTATTGCCTTGAGAGAGATGGCCAATCTGCCCGTGCCCAGCCTACAGACAGGTGGGCTCTGGTGGTTCCAGGATCTCACGGTGTCTGATCCCTTCTACGTCTTGCCACTGGTAGTCACTGCCACGATGTGGGGTGTCCTTGAGGTAAGCTGGGGGCTGGCCAAGCATGAGACCTGCCAGTAAATGGAGTAGGGATGAAGTAGTGTGCAGAATGTGCCTTCCATTCCCTGGAAGAGTAAAGTTGATGGGGCCAGGGATTGGAATTTACCATTCCTTCCCCTTATTGGCAGCTAGGTGCTGAGACAGGCATGCAGAGCTCTGACCTCCAGTTCATGAGGAACATCATCCGAGTGATGCCCCTAGTGGTCTTGCCCGTGACCATCCACTTCCCCTCGGTAGGTAATGGCTTTGTGCTGCCTGCGAGTCCTTCCTAGGCCTCTGGACACCCAGCTGTGAGCATCTCCTCTTCACTCACCCAGGCAGTGTTCATGTACTGGCTCTCCTCCAATTTGTTCTCGCTGTGCCAAGTGGCCTGCCTCCGGATTCCAGCTGTGCGCACAGTGCTCAAAATCCCCCAGCGCGTTGTACATGATCCTGACAAATTGCCTCCTCGGGAAGGCTTCTTGAAGAGCTTCAAAACAGGTGAGGGGTATTGGGCAGTGTGGTGAGGAGAACCTCCCAGCAAGCAGGGAGCACTACCTAGTCAACCGAGGCTCCATAGTGACCTATGGGCTGTGGAACTTGAGACTTAGGAACTTACTTTCTCCTCACACAGGCTGGAAGAACGCTGAAATTGCACATCAGCTCCGGGAGCGTGAACAGCGGATGCAGAAACACTTGGACCTAGCTGCCAGAGGTGAGGAAGCCTTGCGGGCTAAATCCTGTCTTCCATTTCTTCTTTCCTCTGTTCACTCAGATTTGTTCTCCCTTCTCCCAGGTCCCTTACGACAGACTTTCACCCACAACCCTCTGCTACAGCACAATCCAAGCCACCCTCCCAACACCCCCAACAGCAGCAGCACCAGCAGCAAGCCCAAGTCAAAGCCTTGGCACGACACACTTGGCTGATTCCTGCTCTCTGCTCATTCTGACAAGAGCTCTGCATCTGCACGGACTCCTCCAAAAGGACAATGCTGTGTGCTCGCCCCAGACCTGGGAACTCTGGGTTTGGAAGTGTTCGTTCTAAAAAATTGTTTCCACTACAGACTATTACTCGTGTATAAAAGAGCACTAGAGAGCCAAGCGACCCTCTCATCCACAGAGTTAGTAAACGTCTGTCTTGTCTGGGTTTCTTGATGTCTCTTAAATACGGAAGGGGAGTTGTGCCTCAGAACGTCCATGGGTGAGGAGCAGTTGCCCACACTCGCCCTAGCTCTTGGGAAGGAGCTTTGGGTTTTAACCTAGGCTTCAAAGCTCAGACCTACCTCACACACATCCGTCTACATTTGTGTGTGCACTGTAGAGTTGTGACGGGCAAGACTACGGCAATCTCTTGTGGTACTGGAGGCTGATCCTACACCTCCACCCTGTGCCGTGTTTCCTGACCCCCTCCCCCAAGAGTACCTTGACAATTTCTTTAAGAAGTAAATGTGCTAGCCGGGCGGTGGTGGCGTGCACCTTTAATCCCAGCACTCGGGAGGCAGAGGCAGGAAGGTCTCTGTGAGTTCGAGGCCAGCCTGGTCTACCGAGCGAGTTCCAGGACAGGCTCCAAAACAATACAGAGGAACCCTGTCTCAAAAAAAAAAAAAAAAGAAGAAGTAAATGTGCTAAAATTCTGAGTGATAATTTTAAAAAATTTAAGGGGGTTGGTAAACGGCTTAGCGGATAAGAGTTCAAATCCCTAGCACCCATGAGAAAAGCTTAGCATGTCCCTGTTCTTAATGCCTGTACCCACGGTTCTGTGCAGAGTGGAGACAGGAGGATCACTGGGGCTTGCTGGCTGTCAGCCTCGCTCCAGGCTCATCGAGAGACCCTGTCCCAAGGGACTAAGGTACAGAATGACGGAGCAGGACTCCTCTCTGCACATGCACCACACATAAAAAACGGAGGTTCTTATGTACTAGGTTTTTGCATTTATAACATGTTAGTACAACAGTTTACACGCATTGGTAGACATTGGTTTTATAGCCTTTTGGCAGCTGATTCATGTAGTTTCCATGTCTGTTTTTGAACTGCATAAATACCCCGGAGTCAGTAAAGCCACTCAGACTTTAGGAACATAACCTTTTATTGTTTGGCATCTATGACAGTTTTGTCTCCCTCTAAAGGAGACAAGTTTGGAGCATTGTTGGCCCTTGTAAAGGTAAAGAGGAGTGGGTAGGCACACCCAGGTCCTTCCAGAACCAAGCTCCAGAAGTGGCCTGCTTCCTGCCAGTCTGCATTAACCCCTGATGAAGTCTGAAACAACACATAGCTAAACAAATAAATTACTTTTCATCCCTGAAAGCAAGTTCAGAGTTGAAGCTGCCAAGGCTGGGCTCCTGGACGGATGCCTCCAGAGAGGCTCTGGTCAATGGGACATAAGCCCGTTTGTCCATGTCTCAGAATCCCAAGCTCTACTTAGACTTGCGACTTTGTCGTTTTGGCGTCTCTTCGTCTTCCAAATCCAGTTCTGCAGCAACTGACATACAGAGGATCTGGAGGTACCGGGTGGTGGAGGCTACAAAGAGAAATCTGAGGTAAAACTGGGAACAGCGTCAGTGGCACCAGAGGGGGCTGGGCCTGAAAGAAGGGGTTCGGTTAAGCCATATGGTTAATAGCAGGGACCGGCTGTGGTAAGAGGGACTTGGGAGCTTAGGTTTACAGAAAATGGCAAAAAAGAAAAACCATCTATTCAGGTAGCTGACCAACTTGCCCCAAAGCTTACCTACGATCCTTCGAAGGAGCAGGGGCCGCTTGTGTTCGGGCACTCTGATGATGAGGAAGTAGAAGGGTAAGCCCGAGAGTGCAATGGCGATGCCGATGAGGGAGTTGATGGTGTCACTGTAAAGGGGCACAGCCACCAGGAAGACCGTACAGAGGCAGAAGACAGCGGGGAAGAAAAGGCTGAGCTAAGGGTGCAGAGGAAACGACTGGGGGTTAGTTAGCATGTTGCTGTGTGTTGTCTTGAGATTGTCTCACTGTGTAGCCCAAGCTAGCCTTAAACCCATAACCCTGCCTCAGCCTGAATGCTAGGATTGTAGGCGTGGGTTGCTAACAACCAAAATAACCCTAACCCCATAAGGATAAAAACACTGAAGGGCTAGAGATAGAACCCAGTGGTATGGCACTCGCCGGACATAAGTACTCAGCCTTCTTTCTGTCATCTGCATGCAGCCGCCACCAAGTCCTGGCATTGTTTGTGGGCTTTGGTTGAGTCTTGTTGAGGGTTTTGGTCAGGGGTTGATTGCTTATTTTAGGGCAGAGGGGTGTGTGCTGAAGATCCAACCCAAGTCCCTGTGTGTGCCAGACAGGGTTCCACCACTGGGCTGTATCCACGGTCCTTCCTGGGTTGGTTGGTTGGTTGGTTGAGGGGCTGTTGGTTTATTTGTTGTTGTTGTTGTTTTTTCATTAAAAACAAAATAGGATCTCATAAAGCCTAGCCTGGCCTTGAACTCCTGATCTTCCTGCCTTCACCTTCCAAGGGTTGGGGTGATGGGCACATAATACCATGCCTGGCTTCCCAGCCCTTGTGGGATTTGTTTCAGAGTGGTATTCTGAATTTTGTTTCTTTAGTGCATATGGGTGTTTTGATGCATGGATGTCTGTGCACCACATACATGCCTGGTACCAGAGGAAGCCAGAAGGTACTGGATCCCTTGGAACTGGAGTTACATTTGTGAGCCACCATATGGGTGCTGGGAATCGAACCTAGGTCCTCTTCAAGAGCTAGTGCTCTTAACCACTAAGCCATCTCCAACCCCGAGATGTTTTGTTGTTTTTTTAAGATACTTATTTTCATTTTATGTGTATGAGTGTTTTGCCTCCACATAAGTGTGTCCAGTACCCACAGACCAAAAGAGGTTATTGGATTCCTTAGAACAAGAGTTACAATTGTGAGCTGCCATGTGGGTGCTGGGAATCACACCCAGGTACTTTGCAAAAGCATCAAGTACTCTTAACCTCTGAGCCATCTCTCCAGCCCAACCCTGGGTTTCTTAATTGCAGCTATGTGCCAATATGCCTGACCTAGGGAAAGGATAAACCCCTGTAAGATCCCTGCAGCAGCAGCAACACTAGCTGTACTAAATGGAACAAAGATGGGGTAAGGGATTACCTTGAGAGGGCGAGGCCGGTCAGGTTCCTTCCAGCGTAGATAGAGCTGACCCACAATGGAAAGCCCCACAAAGAACCAGTAGCTGAAGCTGTAGTAGTTAATGAGCTGGAAAATGTCCTCCACACACAAGTAGACCAGTGCCAAGATACCCTGTTGATGCAAGTCCCGTCAGCTCCTCCCGGGCCCTGGTTATTCTGGGTGCTTTCTGCCACTCCTAACCCTCACAAGCCCATCCCAGGTCACATCCTGCCAGTCTCCGTATCTGCCGCCACCCGTGCCTTACTCCTTACTTGGACCACAGAAGTGTGAGCTGTAGGAACTTCCTCAGCAGTTGGCACAGTGCATCAATACTTTCTAGGTCACAGCCCCCTTTCTGGCTTTCTGGCTACATCTAGAACTACCAAGTCTCCCCCCGCCCCAATCTGGCTTTCAGTGTCATCCCTGAGATAACTCACGTTGAAGAGTAGAGATGGCACTGGCGTGAACCGCTCAACATGAATCATACAGATGGCATCAGGGAGGTGGCCTTCTCTTGAGCCCACAAATAGAAGTCTGTGGAGGTAAAATAAGAGAGGCTGACAAAACGGTGGGACACATAAGACAACCCATGTCACTTGTCATATTATCCTCCCTCTCTGCTATCCCTTCAAAAGGTCTGGGTAACAAAAAAAAAAAAAAGTTCAGCATGGAGCTTAGAAATGGAGGCTGCTAAAAGGAACAAGAAGTGAGGGATTGGGGGACGCTGAAAACTGAAATCTCAGTCCTAAAGTTTGACTGTCTCTGGCAAAGCTTTTCATGATACCCACCCTGTCAGCAAAAACAAAATGACAGTCCTACCTAGAAGCAGCCACAATGGAAGCATTGAGGCCACCAAAGCAGGATAATGCAACTGCCACTGGAATTGTCCAGTTGAATACTCCAAAGATCCGGTCTGCAAAGGTCTAAGACAAAGGAAAGAAATCATTAGTAGATCCTAAGTGATGAAGAGCACGCACAGGTACATGCCCAAGTTCCTGTGTCAGGAGTGCAGTCCTTTCCACGGTGAAGGGAACAGTGTCCTAAATGTCTCTTATCACACCGTGTGGCCACTCCCTTTCCAGGACTGATGCTGGGATATTCCAGAAGCCCACAACACACCCTCATGCTAGTGAAAACCCTTTACCACAGCAACAGCTTCACTCGCCAAGATGTCCTTTATGTCTAGCACACTGTAATAAGCCACATTGGTCAAGAGGTAGATGATGGTGACAATGGGCATGGAAATGGCAATGGAGAGGGGCAAGTTCCTACAACCAAACAGAAAAAAAGAAAAAAGGGATATGTTAGTCCTACCATTTTATCCCTACCTCTCAGACTCTGCCATACCATCCTCTCCAAGGACGCAGACATCTGTGTTTCCCAGGTCCTTGGCCTCTGAGGTGGCCTGAAGTATTGGCATAAGCTCTGAACTCTTAAAAACTAAAAAGCAGTAGGGGGAGGAAATACTCCCTTAGAAAGGCGATGCAGAAAAAGGGAAGTTGCATGTAGTGTCACTTATAATCCCAGCTACTCTGGAGGCTGAGGTGGGAGGGTCCCATGTTGAAGACCTGTGTGGAAATTTAGTGAGACTATCTCAAAATAAAAACAGGCTTGAGATGGCTCCGTGGTTAAGAGCATTTGTTGCTCTTGCAGAGGACCCGGATTCAATTCCTAGCACCCATAGGGCAGCTCACAATCACCTATAACTTCAACTCCAGAAGAGCAGAAACCCTCTTCTGGCCTCTGAGGACACTGGACACACATGGTACACCCATGTATGCAGAAAGACACCCACACAGAAATTTTTTAAATATTTTTCAAATCAAAGAGCTTGAGGGCAGAGCTTAGTGGTAAAGCATTTGTCTAGCATGCCTGAGGTCCTAGGCTCAGACTCACAGTACCACCAAAAAGACAACAAAAGGGAAATTGACCACGAGCTGTGTTGTGTTCCAGCATAACAACAGGAAGGTGGGAGTGATCTGTTTCTGTGTCCAGTGGTCAGGGTCAGGATGTCTCTGAGCACTGGGAAGTGTGTCTTCAAACTGAGAAATAGAAGAAACTGGAGAGGTGGACTGTGGAATCTCACATCTTCAGTAGAAAGAACAGTGTGTGCATCAAACAGGAGTGTCACTTCAGAGAACTCCAGGTACCATCCTAACTGACAGCCAGAAAAAGACACAGAGACCCGCCAAGGTCTCTCAAGTGCCAAAAGATCACTAACTATATAAATGCCCTTGACAATGAGTAGAGGGAAACAAATACAGGTTGTGTCTGTTTTTCTGGTAGTGAGAATTGAACCTAGGATCAAGGGCACATCTATCTAGAGCCTTGAGCATGCTAACAAACGCTCTACATGAGCTATACTCTACGCCCTCTTGTTGTTGACGGGATCTCAGTAAGTTGCTCAGAGAAGCCTTGAGCACACTCTGTAGCTAGGCATTGAACTTGTCATGCTCCTGCCTCAGCCTCCAGAGTAGCCTTCACCATGAGGCAGGCTTGCAAATAATCCAGTCATTCCGCTTCTGGCCAGTAGGTGGAACCACCAATCCCTGGCCTCCATTGCATCTGTAGCCCTGCTCCTGCATTGAAGTGCCAGCATGTGTACCAGGAAGGCTTTTTGTTTTTCAAAGCCAAACGTTAGTTGGTACGGGAACTGTTACAATTCAGGGAAATTATTTCCTGGCATATCTTAGTTTCTAGGATCATAACATTTTAGAGTCAGGAAAGGCCATGGACATTCTATAGTTCAACCCACTTAATTTTGTATTAAACAGGCCACGGTTAGGGAAATGGCTCAGTTGACAAAGGTGCTTGCCTTGCAAGGAGGGTCTGGGTTTGCGCTTGGAGCCCACATGCAAATGCTGGGTGGGCTGTGGAGGATGGTGTGTATTTGTAACCCCAGAATTAGAGAGGTGGGGACAGGAGGACCAGTGGGCTTCCAAGACTAGCCAGCCTAGCCTCATCAGCAAGCTCCAAACAAACCAGAAAGAAGATGGGGGCCTGGAGACATGGTTCAGCAGTCAAGAACACATGTTCTTTCAGAGGACCAGGTTCTATGAATGCACGTGGTTGTTCATAGCTGTCCATAGCCCTTTGCATGTTCCTACAGTAATGTGGTGCACACCCATGCACTCAGGCGCACACACATGCATAAAGGTATATACAGTTTTTTAAAGTAGGCAGTGCCTAAGGAATAACACCCAAGTGTTTCCACAAGCATGTGTGCACACAGCAGACACACACACAATGAGCACCAGGCAAACTGGGCACTAGCAGGAAGGTTACAGATCCCAGGCCGACCTGACTACATAGTGAGATGCTGTCACAGAAAGAAAGGGAAAAAAGTCTTAGTAAAGAAAAAGAGGGGCCAGGTATGGTGGCGCACACCTTTAATCCCTGCGCTTGGGAGGCAGAGGCAGCTGGATCACTAGGAGTTTGTGGCAGTGTGGTCTACATAGTGAGTTCCAGGCCAGCCAGGGCTACACTTGTGAGAGTTTGTTTAAAAACAAGAACACAGAACCGCAAATACACAGGGGCAAAAAGAAAGGGCAGCTGTTGGTCCTCTAGCAAATCAACGAAAGACCGATCCCAAGACCCGTGGCTCCCAGCCCCGTGCTCTTTATTCCGCACGACGTGAGGCAATTCAGAGCAGCACTGGCGGGGTGACCCGGTGAGTGGCCGGAACAGTCGCACACTGTCAGTATGAATTAGGGCAAAGAGAAAGGTCCAGAAGGGAACTGGAAGAAGGCAGTCTGTGACCTAAAGTTATCTATGTAGAGTAAGGGCGAGTGGAGGTCTTAAGACAGAAAGCCTTATGACACTATCGCAGTGTTGCTCAAATTAGTTTGCAAATCTGAGGGCAAAGGCAATCCTCTTGCTACAGCTCCTGAGTAGCTGGCAAGGACCTCGGGTGTTTAGAAGCAGATAAAGCATGAAGTATATATAACCTGCTTTATTCAATGGAGAAACGAATGAATGTACAAACTCTCTGAAAGGATTTTCAAAGCACATGCACGAAAGTGCACATCTTAGCATAGTTACTGCAATTATGGGTGATTAAATCTCTAGGTCTCAACTCTGTTAAAATCAGGCTGATGAGATGGATCCCAGAATTGAGAAGATGTGATGCCTGTGAGGCTCGGTCAATGATGGCTAGCAGGTGGTGGTAAAGTACCTACCTCTCTGGATTCCTGATCTCTTCAGTGACATAGTTAAGGGTATCCCAGCCCGAGTAGGAGAACAAAGCTGAGTATAGTGCCAGGGCAATGTCACCCATTGCAAATGATGAACCCTCAAAGGAATTCTCAAAGTTCGTTGTGGCTCCTGGAAGGTGAGAACAACGGAAGACAAAATTTAATGGCCCAACTCCTACTTCAGCTGATCCTGTAAGGAGAGGAAGCCTCTGGTAATATCAGCAGGGGAAGTGCTACAAGGGTACTACTGGGGGGCGGGGACAGAAGAGGCATCTACAGAAGGCTGCGGTGCAGAGAATCATAAATGTGGTCTTGACAGGAGGAACTCAGTGAGTCTAGTGTAAGAAACCACCAGAGAGCCAAATAGGGCTAGTCACTGGCTGGTGGTCTGCTCTACACTGCAGGTTGCCTGAGTCCTAGCCTCTTTCTAACACTAGACAGGGATAACACTCAAAGAGGGGAGACAAGGTTCAGGATGCCCAGGTCAACGGAGCAGTTACAGGAAAGGCTTCATACCTGGAAACCAGGTAGGAGTAAGTGCATTTCTGACTGCTCACTTCCAAGGGCAGAAATGGCAGAGCAATAGCTCTAGGCCCAGAAAGCTGTAAAAGCAATCCCCAGTCCCCTTGCCAAGGACAGTTTCCTATGGGAGGCGGCACAGCAGAAGATGAAGGACTGGCTTTGGAGTCAGCCTGTGGGGCACAAGTTTCAGCTCTTCTAACTTGAGAAGATACTCTGGGTAACCTGTCTTGGGCTCTGTTGTTTTGTTTTAAAATAGGGTCTCACTGTGTAGCCCTGGCTGGTCTGGAACTTCTATGTAGACCAGCCTGGTCTCAAACTCAGAGTGCTGGAATAAAGTATAAACCAACACACCCAGATGTTGCTTTTGAGACAGGTCTTCTGTGTCCCGGGGTTGGCCTCAAATTGTCTATGTAGCTGAGGATGGCATTTAACTCCTGGTCCTCTGGCTGCACTACCTCACAAGTACTGGGACTCTAGGTATGTACCGCTCTGCCTGGCTTAAGATAGTTAATTCTGGGGCCATTTCCTCACCTATATAAAAGGAATAATAGTGCCTACCAAATATGGTATTTGGAGATTTAAATAAGGCAAGTTATCAGCTTCTAATAATAAAGTAAAGCTGAAGTTGTAGATCTGAGATATATGGCTTGCCTAGCATGGCCCCAAACTCTGGGTATGATCCCCAACACGCCAAAGAAAAAGAATAATAAAGGCCAGTTGCTAGTTTTTGTTTTGTTTTTCTTACCCTGGGCAAGTGTAACAATGCCTGCAATGATGACTGCGATCAGTGCCAACACTTTAGCATAGGTAAAAATATCCTGGACCAGGGTTCCCCACTTGACATAGGCACAGTTAACGAAGGTTAAGAGACCTGAAAGAAAAGGAATACTGGTCAGGACCTTTCCTTCCCACCTGGAGGCCTTAGACTCCGGCACTAGTCATCAAGATGAACCCATCAAACAGTCAGCTATGTATCTGGACTGTGCCTGCTCCCCTCCCCCATTATCCTCGGCGTTATTACTGCCAGGCATTTGCTGAACACCTGTTTCCACCGCCACACTCCCAAACCCCAGTACCTTAAACTGAGTCACAGAGAAAGGTGGCAAAATTCCTGTTCAGAGAAGGGGGAGGCACCTGGCAGTTGAACAGACTAGCGATGTAATGTATTCTGGTCCTTGGCTTTTTTTTTTTTTTAAGATTTATTTATTTATACAACATTCTGCCTCCATGTATGCCTGCACGCCAGAAGAGGGCACCAGATCTCATTACAGATGGTTGTGAGCCACCATGTGGTTGCTGGGAATTGAACTCAGAACCTCTGGAAGATCAGTCAGTGCTCTTAACCTCTGAGCCATCTCTCCAGCCCTGGTCCTTGGCTTCTTAAAACAAGATGAGGACCAAACTTCCTGCCCCCTGTCTGTCAACCCCGCTATTTGTTTTGTGCTTGGTAAAATTCTTGCAGCTAAAACAAGTTCTTGAACAGAATGGGCCATAAACATTCCTCAAGTCCTTCTACCCTGGGCTAGAGGCAGCCCCTCTACCTGGATGAACGCAGGGAAAGATCACAGACCATCCTCAGAGTACAGGGCTCAACAGTCTTTTGCAGAGTGTTATGGCAAATGGACATACACATTTCCCTAAAGAGTCCATATCTTTCATCAAAATCTCAGAGTAGTGGCAGGGGGTACAGCTCAGTGGTAGATAATGTGTTCAAATGAATGAAGCCCTAGGTTCAAATCTTTTCACCCCCAAAAATAATATTCTCAGAAAAATTCATTAGCCCAAAAGTTAAAACCCATTACTTTGGAAGAAATTCAAGAAGGGAAGCCCACACACACTGTGAGGCTGACTGGCAGCCCAGGGAGTCTGGATCCGGAGGGAAGTCAGAGAAAACAATTCTGAGACAGGGAATCAACACAGCTTCTCCTAGCTCAGCAACTGGAACACCCCACAGAGCACTTGACTGTCTCCCCACAGAGGCTCTCAGAGCAAAACTAGCCTTGCCAGTGAAGAAAGGAAACCCAATGTAGGTATTGATTCAAGCCAACAACACAAGTTAAAAGCAAAAAAAGACCACCCCCAGTGTAAGGCTTTCAAGCACTCAGAATACTGAGAAAGAGGATTGCCTAATGTCAGATCCAAAGAGAATTCCAATTCCCCAAACTCCAAAAGGCAATCCAAATCCAGAAGTGAGCTCAACCCGGGCTATAGGAGGATTTCTGGCGGTTAGATAAAAACCAGCATTCCTCGGGAACTTGTGAAACCAGTTCCCATCTGCCAAAAGGAGTCATTTCCCTTATCACTGGCAGAAGGGACATATGACTACCTGTGGTGTCTATCAGTGTATCAGAGTGCATGCTGGCCTCCAGGCTCCCTCAGTGTCACAGGGACCTGTCACACGTGTCCAAGTCTGTGCAAGCACCCTGCCCTTCTCACTTTCTCCCCTATCCCTCGAGCTCAGACGTCACTCTCTCTCCAGCTATTCCAGCTATTTGTACTTTTTATAACCCTGCTATTTTCTCTACTCTCTCTCTCTCTCTCTCTCTCCTTCAATTAAAACCATACCACGGAGCAGTCATGTGGTCAGTTTGTATGCCTACAAATTTTAACTTGAGGCCAGCCTGGATTACATAGTGAATCTCAAGCCAGTCTGGGCCACAGAGACCTGGCCTCGGAAAAGAAAGGAAGGAACCTTAAGCCCTCGGAGTCCTGGGACGGCATTCAGGTTCAGCAGACCTGTGGTTGTTGGGTCCTGGCCTCATTCTTTTTCGACCCCAGAGACCACTGCACTAAGGAGCAGGGGAAACTAGCCATCTTCCATTCCAATCTCTTTCTGTGGGGGAGGGGTGGGGGGTACAAGCACTTGGGTGTTTGTGCGTGCGTGCGTGCGTGCGTGCGTGCGTGCGTGCGTGTGTGTGTGTGTGTGTGTGTGTGTGTGTGTGTGTGTGTGTGTGTGTGTGCGCGCGCTCACTCATGCAAGCACATGCGGAAGCCAAAGTCAATGTCGGCTGTCTTCCGCCATCACTTCTCCGCCTTACCCTTTATTATAGCTATTCCCGTGTTACAGCACACACACCTGCAGGTCAGATGACAACTCCAGGGAGACAGTCATCTCCTCCCACGGTGTGGAACCTCGGGGTCAAATTTGGGCTTGGTGGGAGGAGCCTTTACTGACTGAGCCATCTTGTCAACTCTCCACCCTACTTTTTGGAGATACTCCCACTGCACCTGGAGCTCATCGCTGTGTCCCCAACCACTCAGCAACCTGGCGTTTCCAGCAGGTGCAGACAGAGGCCCTGAACTCTGGTCTCCTTGCTTGAGCGGCAAGCGCTTCGCCCAGGGAGCCGTCTCCCCAGCGCTGCTCCTGCCTCTTTCTAATCATTGCCTACATTGTTTTCTTTTTACCGAGGGGCTTTCCAGCTCTATTCAAATACATGTCTTGTGCCTAATAGACATGACAATAAACAACCAAACCTTATCACAAGGCTGAGCAAACAAGAACCCATCGCTCCAGGTCGCCCCAGTGCTAAGTTAATAATTAAAGGCGCAAGTATACTGACTCTTCAGTAATCCCACAGAATAAATGGCCTTTATCTTGCCCTCCACGAGCCTGTCAAACCCTGACCTTCCTCAGCAGTCATCCATCCCTTTCTCTCCACTGGACTTCAGCCCTCAGCTCTTCCACTGCCTGGAGCCCTGTCTCCTCCTCCTGTAATCTCTAATCCTCACCGTTAGGCTCTGCTCTGACTTATAAATGCAAACCCTTAGAAACACCAAGCTGCCATGTGCCCGACCAGGAGAGTGGGATCCCTTAGGACTGGAACCACCCGCAGACATGAAGACACTCTGAAGTGAAAAGTCTGTCCCTCCTGACGTGTGGCTAGCAGACTATTGAAGCAATGGTCCCCAGCAAGTTGGAATTCCCCTGGAAGTCTCATGCTGGCAGAAGAAAAAGGCTGAAGCCTGGTGCCAACTGGAGGAAAGCCTTGTCACTCAAGATATTTCACACAATTCTGACAACTTCTCAGGCCACTTTGCAAGAGAGACTAGAGCTAAAACAATGAGGAGCCAGGGTAGCCAAAACCAGTCTGTTACTGGGACCGCTTTGCTATATATACCTTCGACCCTCTATTTAAACCCAAACCTCATACTGGGATCCACTGATTTCTCTTCCCTGTGAGGCCATACTCAGTGTCCCTCCTCTTACTTGCAACTCTTACTTTATCTCTTTGAGTGGCTTCCTATGGACCGGGTAGCCAGCCTAGCTCCGTCAGGCTAGCAGGGCCCAGAGTCTTCCCCTAGCAAGTCTGGTAACATAACAAGTTCCTGTTTAGGCTGCAAGAAGCCACGGGTCACAACATGGGACTGTAATAGACATAAGGGAATGGCTGTAGTTCACAGGGTCTGCAGCTCTACGCCCAGGGCTCTTGTCTCTCTGTTCTGTCCGAGAGTATAAGCACAGAAAAGTAGAGACAGCCAACTCACTCCCCTTTCTTACAGCAACCCCTGCCATGGGAATGTAGACTTCTCCACTTCCTAACATAGCGACCCTTTAATACAGTTCCTTATGTTGTGGTGACCCCAGCCATAAAATTATTTTGTTGCTACTTCATGACTGTAATTTTGCTACTGTTATGGTTGTATGTAAATATCTGATATGCAGGACATCTGATGTGTGACCCCTGTGAAAGGTCATTCGGTGTAGAGGTTGTTTATATTTTGATCCCTACTGTTTCTCCACCCATTGGCTTCATCCCTCCCCTTACCTCCCATGTTCCCTGCTACTGTACTTCTTTCTCAGCCAGGACCCACCATCGTGCCTGCTCTGCTCTCTGCACTGAACGCGGTGGGGGCTCAATGTGAACGCTGTACAAAGAACTCTGAGCGACCTGCACGAGAAAGCCGGTTCTCCCCTTCCACGGCTTCCAGCTTCCTCCAGAGCTTCCAGCCGCGGGACCGGGAAATGGCGAAGGCAAGCAAGCCTCCATGCTGAGTAGGCTCTTTGTCCCCACCCCTAACAGATACAGCTGACCAGAGTCCCCAAAGCTCAGCCAAACGCATGGTTCTTGAAACAAAGCCCAACCTCCTGCTTCAGAGTCAGAGACAAGAGAGGAAAAGTAGGGTTAGAATAACAGATCCAACTGCAAGTTAACCTCCAGACAGATACTCTACCCTTCTATCTCTGGGGGTAATTCAGTCCCCACCCAACACTGAGCCAAGTCCATGGGAGGATTGCCTAAAATGACCTTTAACCTTGACCCAGCTGCTTCTCCATTCCTGATTTAACTTCAGGGGGAAAAGCAGCTGCTGCAAAGATGTCACTCCTGTAACCAGAAGAGGTACTCCAGGACAGATCATCCCAGCAGATACGAGGTCCCCAGGAGGAGACAGGCTCTACCGCTAAGGTCTAGAGTCAGCACTAGACAAAATGGAAATTCCCAGCTCAGGTCATTCTGAAATGGCACCTGAGGAGATGAACAGGTGAGAGCGCCTGCGAGCGCCTGCGAGAGCCTGAGAGCGCCTGAGAGCGCCTGCTGTTCTTGCCAAGGACCCGAGTCCGGCTCCAGCACCCACACAGCACCTCACAACTACCCGTAACTCTAGTGAGGGGACCATACACACCTTCCTAACCTCTGCAGGTTCCTGCATGCATGCGACACATACACACACACTAAGCCACATATACATAAAATCATTTTTAATCAAAAAGGAACAATGCCTTTAGCCTGCTCTGATCAATGCCAGGGTTTGCTTCAAATCGTCTAAAGTCCCACAAACTGTAAGTCCTTATCCTGTAGAAATTAATCCTGAAGTCTTTATAAGTTAAATATTAGATAAGCGTCAATAATCTCGTGGGGATGACAACAGTGA